TAGAAACGTATTAAACCATTGGACATCACGAAGGACATGATCAGAAAATCACTTCTAGTTGTGTTAAAAACTCTACTAAAAAGCTGCCCCATTGCTTTTAGTAATGCCTTCTTTGATGGCTGTTGACTACTTATATGCTACTGATTCATTACAGTGCAAATTAAAATGGGGTTACTCAAATCATCATCTGATCATGCCCTGTGATGATAACAACCTGGATTAAAACTACGGCGTGTAGTTAAACTGTGGTAAAATATTATTAAACTGAGAGAAATTCAACATAACAAGGAGATTTGCAACATTTTGAATCTTTGAACTTTCAAGTGGCATGGCTATTTTTAAGTTAAGATGAGTAAAAAACATCTGGAATATAGAAACGTGCACCCATTGTCAATAAGACCGGAGCCTTGCTCTGTATAAAGAATTAAAAAATCCTTTGTCTGTGTACAGATTTATTAAACACATAAAATAGAAGATGTGTTCAAGGCTCAGTGAATTGCAGCTGTTCTAAACTGCAAAACTCTTACAATAGCAATCCTGATGGTCTTAATTATAGTGATGCTAGTGAACATTGCTGCAATTGAAAAAGTTCCTCATTAACATGGGATCTTATTTCAAGGCAGCATTGAAAGATTTGAAGATCTTCATGGAAAATAAATGTGCTGAAAATTTATGTTTTAATGACATTGCACTTTCTGACAAAAACTTGTCAATTTTGGGTTTTTCCCCAATAGAATTTTTTGAACTCATATCCAAAGCTCAAAGTAACAGAGCAGATGACCAACGTGGACTGCTAAGGAAAGAAGACCTCATTCTTCCTGATTTTCTTCGTTTACCTCCCACTGGACCAGAACCATCCTCATCTACTCCCGCAGGCCCTAAAGGCCCCAACAAGCGAGTTTCAAAAAATGATGGCAAGGATGGATGTACATCACCAGGTGGAAAACAGGAGTCTTTACAAAACTTTAATGAAAATTCAGTTAAGAAAATGGGTTACTCAGAAAATAAACATAAATCTGCTTTGACAGCTCTTCACAGTCAGAAGACTTTCAGTGTTCCTTTTAATACTGCGTTGTCTCCAATTCCGCATGCACAGGAAAACAATGCAACAATATGGAAAAGGCAGTCAAGGGAATTACAAGCTGAAGGCATACAGATGGTAGATGATGAGAATGTGGCAGACTTGACTCTTGTGGCTGAAGGAGATATTAGTAGCCCTAACAGCACTTTGCTACCACCGCCACCACCAACACCACCGTCAGACATGAGTAAACTCACAGAAGCCAACTATCCACCCCCAACTCCTTTTGCAGGTAATCAGGAAAAATCTGGATATCAAAGAACCAATTCAGGTATTTCTAGATTTTAATAGTCTTTCCTTTTATGTAAACTACTTTTCCTTGGCACTGTTAATCAGTATTTGGCACCCATTAAAACAAGGAAGGAAATTCTCTCTGCACCTTAATATTTTTTACAAAAAAAAAAAAAAAGAAATCATTGCCTTAGTCTGTGCTAACTGTAATATTTCTGGTTGCCTTTAACAATGTACTTCTGTCTGGATTTGGCATGTGGTCAAAAATGGACACATGCAGACAAACCTTTAAAATACATCCATATACTATAATTATGTCATTCTTTACCCTAGCAGTGCAAACCAGGATATCAGCATTTTCAGCTCAATAGCACTGTTGCGTTCCAGATTTTCTGAGCCATTTGTCATAATGAGATACATGATTAGGGTTTGGAAGTTTAAGTGCTTTAGCAGGAACCCTAATTATGTGTTGAAAATTGCAGTACTGTTTGTGATTAAAATTTTAAATGGATAAACCTTAATTTAAGAAATATTTCTCTAATAAATTAGATATTTGTGAATGAAAATAAAAACATTAGGGTTTTTTTAACCTATGCTTTCCTACACAGAGGAACAGACTGCATCTATCACACTTCCTCCCAGAATATTCCCATGTGAAATAGATCTTTCTATTAGGTAATTTTAAAGAAAATATGTAACTTTTTTAGGGTGTAAGTTTCATGGTCTAGCAATATCACAGAGCAATATTAGCCCAAGGCTGAAGTATCCAACTTCTTTATAAACACGGACTCCAATAATAATTGCTATTACCAGAAACAAGAGTTGGAAGACAATGGGTGTTGTGACATTGACATTTTACAGTCATTGTACTGTACATTTTAATGTAAAATAGAAGAAGAGATATCTATGTGCTACATTTATTTTTGATGTTTCACAAACATATGGTGCCATAATTTGTATGATCACATTTCTTTGTGATGTGGGAATATACATTTTAATTATTTATCTTTTTACACAGAGTATTTGATACTGTTCTTTATCTGTATGGTCAATGATTTGTAAATACTTCTTTGGTTGTTGGATGCTTATAAATGACAATGCAAATTATTTCATCTTTTTGGTATTTTAAAAACAATTCCTTTATTAGTAGTATTTAAGAAATGTTCTATAAGTGCTACTGCTTAATTTCTGAAACTGAGTATTGAACAGACTTGTAACCAGTGCCTACGGATAACGAAACCACAAAATGTACTTCAGACGTATTGATGTGTATATGCATAGATCTGTGTTGGTGTCTTTCTAATAATATGACAAGTGTACAACATAGGTATCAATTTGCATATTTTTCAGTGAAAACTGTTAAAAAAACCATTTGCACTTAAAAAAAACTTCATGAATTTACAGTATTTTAATGCATGCCGTACATTTCTGTGTAACCACTGAACTGTAGCTTTCCCTTTTCCCACTTTCTACTTTTTACTTTGTAGAAATCTTTGTGTAGTTTTCACATGTATTTTGTATCTTTGTTCTCTCAGGAGTAATAAATTCTAGACCTAGTTACACAAACTGGTTTTAAGCTTTGATTTTCTTCATTATTTAAAAACAGTTCTGTCAGTCCTGGATTAAGAATTCTGATTGAAATCATCATTTAATAACAAACAGATTAATAGATAACAAACTCATAATTACTGTGAGACAAAGTTGCCAAATGTTAATATTTGTTAATAATCTAGATATCAAATGGCAGATGCTGTCTTGAGATGCTGATGGATCACACGTGAAGTCCATAGCATTGACATGTGTGCCAGAAGGCAGATAAGACTTATAAATGAGTCATAACACAAACTCCTGAAAGGAGAGTCTCTTCTGTCTTTGGGTTCTTGGGCTTAACTTTGTATTCATTACTTTCCTTCTTATTTTAAACTAAAGCAGTTCTTCCATGGTCTTTAAGAAATGAGCTGATCTCAGTTCATTTGCTGTGGAGTAACCAATATAGCAACCTCTTTATTTGGTAGTTTTGTGTAAGAAATGAAGGCTTGGATGGGTGCTGAAGACCATACTACCCTTTTCATTCTTAGAGATGGGTCCTACATAACAGTACTGTGAAGCCTAATTGGAAAAAAATAGCCAACCAAACTGTAGAGAGGCTTGTCATGCTGTTACATAGGTCTCATTGTGTTCTGGGGCTGAAAGTGTAGTTTTTCCAAAAGTCACTATGTTCCAAAGTAGGCTTGGGCCTCCAGGAAAGGAAACAAAGCAGCTGAAAGTGCTGTAGCAGTTCCCCTTTTAAAATAATTCAGACTTTGCCACAAAAAATAACTAAGAGCTAACATACTGGGTTTTTAAAATTATTTTTTTTATTTATAGATTTAAATTTTCATGTTTTCCAACTGATATACTCTCACCGGTGATTGTGTGTTAATTTAGTCTTATTCACCTATGAGAGACCTTCTAGAAATGCAACAAAATAATCTTGCACAATCAAAGTCCTAGATTTTCTCAGCTTTGTGACAAACCAGGTTCTGGTTTTTTTTTGTTGTTGTTTTTGTTGTTTTTTTTTTTTTTTTTTGAGGTATAACAAAAATCTGAAGAAACATGTAAAACACCTTCCTTTTTTTGCTGCAACCCTACTGCATACAGTAACTGTTCTACACTCCTCTCACAGTACAATACTGTTTTGTGGGAACTGTATTCTACAAAAGGATGGTGATTTTATGGGAAAAGTGTGGGCTGAAGTAAAACTGTTCTATTTTTCATGATTTCATGGAGTTTGCATGGAAAGACTATTCAATGATGTACTTATAAAAAAGACTGCTGGAAACTGTCTCCAGTCAGGAATCAATATTTCAAAGGACTAAATCATTAATACTGGTTGCTTTTTTAAGTGCTTTAATGGTTGTCCATTCATAATCTCCTGTTGAAGGAAAATGCTTTTCTGATTGGTTTATTGAACTAAAATGTTGGGATAAAATGAAAAATAATGACTGGATAATTTAATGTGGTCTATAATCCTCATTCCAAATTGGTACAAAGGCAAATGACATGTATTCTTACACTATGTGTGGGCTTATATATGCTGGGAAAAGGGCTGGGGGTGTGAAGTAGTCCTTTGTGTTCTGCAGGGGGCAACTGGCAAACCGCAGACTGATGTAGCAAAGCCAGGCCAACATCCATCCCTGTAACTGGTAACTCAGGAGAGTTTTGGTTTTTTTTCCATTCAAAGATCTAGAAAGCAAAATATGAGTAATGGAAAATAGCAAAATGAGGTTTGCATTGCTCAGAGCTTTTGAAAACAGTTTTTTTCAAACACATTAGATACTAACTTTCTTAAGTAGAACATTTAGCTATGAAGCAAATACCAAATCAAGTTGCAACACAAGAGTCATTACTGATTCTTATTGCGTTACTCATCAAGAGAAAATATCTTTATTTTTGAACAAGCCTGCTAGCTGCTGGCAAATTTCCCACTTTAAAAATCAGGGGTTTCTGTCATCTGATGACTAATTCTGAAATGTGATTACTTCATGTCTCTACATACAATTGTAGTGGTACCCATCTGTGGAAGAAACAACTGAATTACTGTGTGGTGTAATTGGCTTGGAGTGATGCATTCATTTTTGAAAGCGTTAAAATAATGATTTATTATCTTTTTTTTTTTTTTTTTCCTGAGTGCGTTTTGGGTTTTTTGGTTGGTTGGTTTGGTTTTGTGCTTTGAATGTTGTCCATTTTTTCCTGGGGGCTTAGGCATGTTCATTACCCGAGTGAAAAACAGCTGTCCTTGGGAGAGGCAGCCTTTCAAACCTTTAGTTCTCTCAAGAGCTGTGAATATCAAGCCAGAAGCCTTGCAGTATTTTAATTATTCTGTGATATTCCACTGACACCTGTGAGTTGCTCGCTATGATTGTTGCCCCTATTACAAAGTAGGTAAGCATTTAGTCTTAGATAGCAATTGGGCTTTTTCAGGTAGTACCATTTCATCCTTAGGACAATTTGCAACAATCCACACTGAAGGTGCACAGACTAGATTTGATTCCATCAAATTGTTATTTCTTCTGTTAGAAAAAAAAAATCACCCTTTTTCTTTTTTCCTTTTTTTTTTTTTTTTATTTTAGGATGAGGAATATTCTTAAAATGAAATTACAGTTATAGTAAATGGAACTATTGCCTTACTGCCTACCAAGTGAGAAGGTGTTTGTTTTTTGGTTTTTGTTTTTGTTTTTTTTTCAGTATAGACTTGATCCATCAATTTGATTGAATAAAGAGTTTATTCAGAACTCTCTTTTAATAGGTATACAGTGTCGTTGGTTAAGATAGAGAGCTAGCCAGGGAAAGTAAAGACATGGTGAACTCTCTGGAATTATATTTCCATGGCTATGGAAGATAAAGGGTGAATTTAGACTGCATAGCTGCTTGCTTTCTCTGAAGACACTGCTTTATTTCTGAAATAGATGGGCAATTGTGTACTCAGAATAAACTTGTTTCCTTTCTTATTGGAAAGAACTCTTTCAGAAATTGGGGTAGTTAGTACAAGTTCTAGGATGGTTTTGTATTGAAAGATAAATTATGCAGAAGTAATATGCAGGGTGGAACCTCAGGGCCTGGGGCTGGCTATTGTTCCCAAAGCCAAAAAAAAAGAAAATTCCCAATGGCTCCTTTTTTTTGTTATTCACAGAGAGAATGCAGTATGCTGCAGCCAAGGAGCAGAGAGCAGATAATATCAGTGGTATTTCCCTGAATTTCACTTTTTCACTACTAAAGTTTTCAGTTATAAGGGGAATGAATTCCAAGTGCAATAAACTTTGGTTTAAGGAGATTGAAAATTATTATGTGTGTATCTTCAAAAATTAAAAATAAACCTTAATTTTTGTAATAGAGTCTATAGTATTTTACACAATTAATATATTATATGATCTCTTAATTCAAATGGTGTATTTAAGAGACAATCCAGCATCTTTTCCTATGTGAGTCAAGATAATCACAAAAATGAAAAAAGAAAAAAAATTAAAAGGAAGGGTTTATGACTTAAAAGATGTAAAAATAATGTGAATAATTATTTTTAACAAAAGCTGTTGTCCTGCAGTTAATGACATCCTTACTGGTTCTGTGTAATTGTATAGAAGATAATTGGATTCTGGATCAATACAAAGAAGTACTTGTGGGGCTCCAGTATTACTAAGGCCAGAAAGTGTTAATCCTCTTTAATCAGAGCATGATTAAATGAGAGAATTACATGTAGTACATGACTGAGATCAATAACAAACAAAGGAGAAGGAAAGTTATGTTAAGAGTAGACACCCGGGAAGCAAGGAAGGCCTTGAAGGATGATTATTTGTAACGTAAGCTTATTTCAATCAAACAGCAAGATACGTATTTTAGAAAGATTTGCAAATTTTATCACTGACTAGATAAAATGTTAGAAAAATCACAACTGTTCTTTGACCCAAATGCACACAGGCCAAAACCAGATCTGTGCAAACACACAACTAACATTTGGACCATGAAATGAACTTAGCTGAATTATTAATTGATATGTAACTGGTAGCCCTGCTAAACCACGTTAGAATTTCTTGATTGAAGAACAACATAATGAGTGGCAGATTAAATTAAAACTGATTTACGTAATTCGATCCACTATTTCCCAAAATATTACTCTCTGCAATAGATAAACCTGGCGTTACTGACTACTGACAGAAAAGCAAAATGAATATTAACAATAAATGCTGAAAGATCAAACTGAGGGCTGAATACTCGTCGGCTGTTGCAGAGATGTTTTGTCATGTCTACTTCTTAGAAAGTAGTCAAAAAATATTTCAGTTTTAGCTGTGAGGAAACAAAAGTTTAAGCAAAGTAGCTAGTGTTATTGAGGGCATGAATGTTAGTCTGGATCAAAATTCAGAATGTTTATTTTTATTTATTCTTTGATTGTTCCTGGGTTTTAAAGGATGTTGTGTGCGGTTCCCCTCAGCAGCAGGCAGTTGTAGCTGTGTATATAAAAGGTCACTGCTCTGCAAACACAGTTTACAGTGTTTCCTTTTTTGATGATATATGCTACTGGTGAGAAGCAGTAATCACAGCAGCTCCCTCTTCAGAATCTGTCTTTCTGAATGAAGTTTTGTGCCGTGTTCTTTTTGCAAGTGCTTTTGAGATGAGTGCAATGAAGGAATTTCTATCTGTCCTGTCTTTCTAAACTTAATGCTGCAAGTGTATTCCAGAAATTCCCAGGACAAAAGTAAATAGACTAGTAGTGCAGAGTATCGATGCTTTGTAGAATAATCCAGTTCATAGTTTGATGCCTTCATTCTTATTGAGTCAGATTTTAAGGCACAGAGCATAGGCTGCCATTGGTGTTTCATCATGCAAGTGAAATACATCATATAAAGTAAAATTTACTTCCAAAAGATTTAGCATAAAGTGTAATTAGGAATTTTTTTATTAAATCCTCCTTCTCTTCAGTGTCGTATCATTTAAGAGATAAAAAGAAGGAAAATTCTTAAAGGAAATATAACTTGCAGAATTCTAAATTTTAAATGCAAAGTATCCTTTTCCTTCTGGAAGCATAAATCACTTTACAAACTTTAATAAAAATAAATCCTTACAGTACTAGCAGTACATCAGCCAGTGTGGAAGTTGTTTATCCACCACTTAAATGAATCCACACCTGGAAAGGCTAAAATTTTGAAATGCCATTTCCCAACAGTTTAGGACAGGAAGGGAGAATTGTCTTTGCCAAGAGTGAAACTGCCAGATTACACCTATCTTAAGGAAAAGATTTACTCATAACTGAAATTTTTCCAGCACATCAAAGTGAATAGTCACTTTAGAAGTGACTATCACAAAGCTCCTTACTTTAAGTCTCATGTAAAAAAATGCTCTCTTAGGCAGCATGTTATCACCCCAGGACAGGTTGTTGCATGGAATTGGAGATGAGAACAGTATCTGCAATCTCCCACATTAAAGAACACGACAGAGTCTTACTAATTTGGAGACTGAACGCGACTGATTACATTTGAGAGTGGCATATGCCTGTAAATAACCAATTCCGGGAATTGTTCCTGAAAACTTTGGTGTTTTCTTTTCACA